CTGCCATTGAAGAATCTAAATCCTAATGCCGACAGATCTGAGCCCCGGAATGAGACTCTGGACCCCAAGACCGAAAGCCCCACATTCGCAAAACTGGATTTTGACAGGCTGGTAGTTCAAGCCTTGCGGCTTAGGCCTCCGCAAAATACCGAAAGCGCTGAGTTTAGAGCCAAGCATTTATCTGGCCCTGAACGCTGCCTAAACTATGATCATGCTATCCCCTCGTAACAGGGGGAGTTCTCGAAAAAGTGCCCCTTAAGGGACCTTAGGGGTATGTAGGCAGTAACATGCAGTCTTATATACGAGGTCTCTTTAGAGGAGCCCCGAAAAGCTACCATATCCTGAAAGCCTCATATTCCTCAAGGACATCACCAGCGTTGTTCAAGATGATCCTGATGGAATCCATGGAAGGACTCGTTGTTATCCCGGGTAGGGGAACCCCATTTCTGGAAACTCCATATGAATCGCCTACCCGAATCCCTCTTTGCCTGAGGGCAGTGACAGCAAGGGGTCTGCAGCAGAAAGTAACAGCAGCAGCCTCAACGGTTTAGGGTTTACAGCTTCGTGTTTATGGCCCATAAGGCTTAGAGCTTGAAACTCTCCAGCAGCCAGGCCACACGGTTTAAGATTTACGGGAGCTCAAGAAGGGCTGCTCACAAAAAAAGTGCGATTAACAGGGGACGATATAAGGGTCAAGTTGAGAAACTCCTCATTTGGGCATCAGGGCTTGGTATGGAAAGAAAGAATCAGAGTATCTCGTCTGTTAAGGATGTTGGCAGTACATGCATGCATACTACCATACAGTTTTCGTGAGACATCCCTGAATGAGCCTGACAAAGCCAAAAGTCTGGGGAGGTGTAGTGTACAGGGGGGCGATTAGGCAACCCATGATACCTGAAAGCACACACGTGAAGCCTCCAGCTGAACAAAATCCAATTTCCCACAAAGCTCTCATTCCTAAGTTTCTACTAGCGACGGTCCCGGAACCCAAAAAAATCTCTAGACTCCAAACCCCAATATAACCCCAATATAACCCTAATGTAACCCCAATATAACCCCAATGTAACCCTAATTTAACCCCAAT